GTCCAATTTTTTAAATCAATTTATGTGCTTTTTTAGAATTAATTACTGCACAATATCTCCATCACACGATACGTTGGTGGAACAGAGTCAGATATCAATACACCAGCTCATCCTAATATCTTTGGTGACATTTATCTGATTTGTACAACGCAAAATGAGATAGAGATGATATGTAATATTTTCTATGACCTGAAGTAATATCTATTCCCGTTACACACTGGCATTCACAGAATGGTTTAATATGTGAGTATCAGGTGACATAGGATGCCACCAGTCTACAGATACTCTGCAAATACAATTACCTCACCAGCTTCACGTGCAATTACCCACTGTTGGGATCTCAAGGTCTCATTGAGGACATTAAGAGCTGCATACCCACATTTCTTGGTGTTCTCTACAGAGGTTACCCTTCTGGCTGATCTTTATGATTACAATGTGATTACACCATGTCGCTGGATAATTACTCTTATCCATGTTATGGCAGGGGAAGTACAAATCACATTATTTGTCTCAATCTTTTCCTGGCATGAAGACACTTGCACAGTACAGGGACAATTGTGCGGATCTTCGGTCACACTCACAAAGATTAATTTTAGGCTCACGTCAGTGAGGAGACTTTCTTTGCACTTCTGCTCCTTCCAATGAATGTCATGCACGACGGACATTTTGGGGTGAAGTCCGCTGGGAAATATGTTGCTCTTGTTCGATGAAAATTAGCCATGGACAAAACCTCCATGTCACCTAATCTTTCAGTGTTTTGTACAAGCTGTAACTTGGAAGCTGAACTCTAATGCTAAGTCTCAGTGACATTTGGAATTTCTTGCGTTTGATAATGAATTGTGTTTCATTATCGATATTTCTGATTTTTTTATATCCTTCCAAATGCATTCATTTGAACGAGATGGTTACAACTTTCCCTTTGAATGGTTGAAATTGAGTCATTGATGGAGTGTGAAAATATTAATTAACTCTTTCAATAAACACACTCCTTTCATGTTGCTTGACATTGAAAAAAGAAATCTGTAAATGATTCGTAATTGTGTGCTATATGAATGATCAAAATCTCATGAAAAGGTTATTCTCTATTCAAGTACATGTAATAAATTCTCCTTCTTGTGTTGAATTTACAATTAAATGTCATTAACTGGTGTTGATCATGATCAGTTCAAACCAATTTTCTGGATATGATCAGATAGTTAAAAAGCCAATACTTATGTTGGACATATGTTTGTATTCCAGAGGGTTTGAGCACAAACACTTTGGTGAGAATCTCGGTGGAAGATGTCAACGACAACAGCCCAGTCTTTGACCCTGCAACCTACAACACCAACATCAAAGAGGGACTGTCACTGCAGCCGTTGCTGACCGTCCATGCACAAGACCACGATGATGGCGTGTTCGGGACAGTGAGATACTCCATCCAGAAAGGAAATAATCAGGGCTTCTTTGCTATCAATCCAAGCAATGGTGAGAGAAAATGAAATAGTTTGTTGATTTAGATGAAATATTCAATATGGAAACATGGCTGCTTCACAATTAATAATGGATAACTAAGTGAGTCATGAAATTAGGTCCTTTGTAGACCGTGGAAAAAAATGGAGTGTCATTTTGATGTACCACGGAGGAATATTAATCAATCCAGTAATTTTGTCTCAACAAATATGAATTATGTTGTGACAAATAATCTATTCATGATGTATTTTTCTTCATAATATTCACAATTGAACAGCTCAGGTGAGGCTGGAAAATGAAGGTCTTGTATGTCGGGTTATCTTTTTGTTTGGGTAATGATCAGCTCGCTGTGTATTTAGGAATTACAAATATATCTGCAAATATAAACTGAGTGTGTGACATAAGTGAAATAAGACAAAATGCAAGACCTTTTCAGTGTACTTCAATGACATGATGTTAGGTACACTATCACACAGATTCAGTTGCAAATTATTTAATGAATGTCTTAGATGAATATGTTAGAAAATATATCTCTCTCTATATATATATGGCCAATTGGGACCTGTGGAGGATGTCTCTGTCGTTAAATGCCAGGATGTGAAGACTGAAGTTCCCTTTGATGCTTGGATGTGAAGACAATAGTGTGATACCCAGTGTACAACGTTGATAATGGAGTGATTATGCTTGCAGGAGTTATATCCCTTGCCAAGATGTTGCCCAATGGAGAAAGGACCTATGATCTGGAGGTACAGGCGACAGACGGAGGCGGCCTTCAGGCCAGTCAGCCAGCCAGGGTCAAGGTCAGCATTACTGGAGCCAGTGCCTTTCCACCGACTTTCAACCATCTTCTGTACAACTTCAGCATCAGTGAAGGTGCAGGTGCGAACCGTGTCATTGGAAGCATTTTTGCAACATCGGAAGATCCACACTCACCAAGAGGTAACATTTGAATATTTCCATGAAATCTGTAAGACATTTTAGTAACCAAGTCGTTTCATTACTGAGCGTTCTGGCTTTTTCTTTACAATGCTGGTATGGAACCCCTTAAAAACAGAAACTGTCTCACCAGAATTGTTTTATTAGCCAGTAAAATTGCAGGTGTATCTTTTGCTAACCTAAATGAAATATATGAAGAAAGAGTTCTCAAGTCAGCCCATAAGATTATATCTGATCCAGAACATCCCATCTACTATGAGTATAAATTACTGTCTTCTGGGTGCTGTTATAATTTACCCCGTTTTAAATCCAATCGTGCTATGAAATCCTTTGTTCCCGCCAGTATTAATCTTTCAAATCATTCCTAGTGTATTATATGTGTGTTATTTATTGTATGAAAATAATTTAATCATTTTATCAATGTTTGAGCTCTGTACTTTACACAAGAATTCCCTCACGGGTAATGAAGTATTGTCATTGTCATTGTCATTGTCATTGTCATTGTCATTGTCACACCATTGAGTAAACAATGCATTGTAGTTTGGGCTTTGTGTAACATGAATTTGATTTTTGCCTTTCAAACACTTGAAACTGAATTCATATTCAGCTGTAACTTATTCTGTATCATGATCTGCTTTTAGTTAAATACAGGATCCTCTCTGGCGGCAATAACTGGTTCGCCATCAGTGCATCCACAGGCTCCATCACAGCTGTCGGTGACCTTGACCGAGAGACCAGAACCTCGGTGCTCCTCAGTGTGGAGGCGGAGTCAGGGAACCCTCCATCCTTCTCCACAGCTCAGGTACATCAAATCACACTGCATAGCCATTTTGAGAAGTTTGGGAACAGATTTAGCTTCAGTTTGTTGAAAACGTAGCAATAAATTTTCGTCTAAAATGTTAAATTTTGTAGAGGAGGGAAAATATCTTGTGATGGAAACAGATTACCATTATATCAGAGTTATGTGCCCTTGTCTTGTTTGACGGTAAATAAGTTATGTGTCATTGCTTTATGTAATCATTGGGAGAGTGAGTGAGATTTAGTGCAGGTTTAAGAGTATTCCAGCAGCATCACAGTGTCCCAGATTACTGTGTGAGAAAAGCATCAAGTGTTGCAGGTGTCGGACTTACATGGTATGGTTGGTTGACACATGTCATTGGTTCCCAGTTGCGCAGATCGATGCTCATGCTGTTGATCACGGGATTGTCTGGTCCAGACTTGATTATTTACAGACCGCCGCCATATAGCTGGAATATTGCTGAGTGCGGCGTAAAACAAAACTAACTCTCCCTCACTCACTCACTCACTCACTCCTCACTCACTCACTCACTCACTCACTCACTCACTCACTCACTCACTCACTCACTCACTCACTCACTCACTCACTCACTCGGGTATGGTGCTGACAAACAAAGACACATAATTGGATTTAACGGGGATTTCAAATCTAGATGATAGCTTTCTAGTCTGCCATATTGTGGCATAGAAATTTGTTTCACCTTACAGAAAAACTTGTGGCACCTTACAGGACTCGGCTAGCTTTGCCCTTGAATATCACTCTTGAATGACTGCTATATCCTTGTTTTCAGGTGAATATTACCGTAAAATAAGTAATTTATCTTTGTCTTCAGGTGAATATTACCATCCTAGACATCAACGACAATTCTCCAGGTTTTGCAGTCAGCAACAACCATTTGGAAATCAATGAGCGAGAGGATCGTGACATGACATCCAACATCTATGTCGTCCAGGCAACCGATGGAGACAATGAGAGGAATGGAACAATTCAGTACAGCCTGCTGAACAATCCAGGAAACCTGTTCCGCATCGATCCTATGAGCGGAGAGATTCGGCTACAGGGAAAGTTGGACTACGAGCATCAGCAGAGATACGAAATGCAGATTGTTGCTGCAGATCAGGGAGTGCCAACACCTCGCAGTTCCACCATGACCTTAGTGATAAATGTCAAGGACGTCAACGACAACCCACCAATCTTCTCCAGACCGGTTTATAATTTTAGTGTCAGGGAAAACATACAACTGACTGCTTCATTTGCTCAGATAAATGCTACAGATCTTGATTCAGATGAAAATGGGCGAGTGTATTACACTTTCAAGGATGGCATGTTCTCATCAGTGTTTGGCATCAATCCACCAAACGGCAATTTATATGTGAAGGAGCCATTGGATCGTGAAGACAAAGATTTGTATGTTTTGACAGCCATTGCAAGTGATCATGGCAAGCCTTCAAGGCTGACCTCCACAGCACAGATCAGAATACATGTCACTGATGACAATGACAATAGTCCAGTCTTCTCAAATGGATTTTACCACTTCACAATTCAGGAAAATCTTCCCATCGCTAGCACTGTCGGACGAGTCATGGCAGTTGACGCTGATGTTAACAAAAACGCAGAACTCCAGTTCCGGTTCCTGAATACCCCACCCAAATTTGTGATTAACCCTCATAACGGAGAAATCACCACAATGGAGAGGTTGGACAGAGAGCAGGAGAGTGATGAGGTGCTTACAGTGATCGTGTCGGATAAGGGGACGCCACCAAGATCTGCTTCAGCAACCGTGAAGATAGACATCCTGGACATCAACGACAACCCCCCAGAATTTGACAGAAGGGAGCCCAACACAGCCACCGTGGATGAGAACCGACCTAAAGGGACCAAAGTGATGCAAGTTATAGCTACTGATCAAGATGCAGGGGAGAATGGCACAGTATCATATTCTCTAGCAAATGGTAAGAAATTGAATTAATACGTTGATCAGTAGGATGGGGAAAGTTCAGAAAGGTGTATTAAAAGTGTTTAGTTTCCATCCTCTTTACAAGACATTCACGTACCATTATGTCAAAGAAACTTCTTTAAATAATCTATTATAAACCAAACCATAGACAGATTGTTGATTTCTGCCGCTTTTCCCAAAAGCACACCAAAATTGGGCTTCACACATTGTACCCATATGGGAAGTCATGGCATGACAAAAGAATTCTTAAACCCTCAGCAGTGTATGAAATAAGCCCAAAATCCAGCCAGACATCAGGACTGGTAACTTCAAAATGTTACCAGCCCAAAATGGATTTAACCAGACCAAATATGGTGAATTTACTCAGATGTATGAACATCTAACACTTATACCAGACCATCGGGCTGGCTAGCTGTAAATTTAGACCATCCGTCAGAAATATAGCCCGTCTTGGGCGGTCGGACGGCTTTATTTCATACACTGCCCTCAGCCAAACCAGACAATCATGTATCTATGTATAAAAAAACTACATACAACTCATGGTTAAACAAAAGCTCAAATTCGCCTTAGTATAAATGTGGAAGAGCTACTTGTTTTCTCTCTTTCAAACTCTACGTTTGGAATAGATTTAACTTGTTGTATCTACCACTGTAGTGCAGAAAGAGATGCATCTTGTTTACTGAAGACTTCATACCTACTTTTATGCTTCAATATTTGTTTTTCAGCCCCTGGAGAGAATGCCGGAACCAATAACTTTGCCATCCATGCCTCATCAGGCTGGATTACTACAAAGGAAGTTCTGGACTATGAAACCAAACGACAGTACAAGCTGGAGGTCATCGCCAGGGACAACGGAGTCAGGTCACAGCAGAGTAGGCAAACCATCACAGTTGCAGTTGGCGATGTCAATGACCAGGCACCTTTGTTTCATGCAAAGAACGTCACATTTGATGTTGTCGAGAACACTGAGATTGGGACTGTCGTTGGCGTTGTTACTGCCCATGACAGGGACTTCGGGTGAGAACGGCCGAGTGTCGTACTACATCATATCAGGGAACGTGTTCAGCCTTTTCACCGTGGACCGCACGTCAGGGGAGATAACTAGTATTAGGGAAATCGATTACGAGGAATCCTCATCGCATACATTGGGAATTCGAGCCATCGACAACAACGCCTTGTTCCCCAAGAGCAGCAACATCAGCGTGACTATTCGGGTCTTGGATGTCAATGATAATGCTCCAGTCTTTGAACAAGATCCTGTTCTACTGAGAACCGTCAAAGAAAACACTCCTACAGGTCATGCCGTGTATACGTTTACTGCAACTGATAAGGACTCCGGACTGAACGGAACTGTTCAGTACAGAATCACCAGTGAGTCCTACTCCGGGCCTAACCCAGACACTGGTAGCTATTTCATGATTGATCCCAGTTCAGGACAGTTGAAGATCAAGAAGAATATCGATTACGAGAAAGTCCATCAAATTTCCCTCATAGTAGAAGCTCGGGACAAGTGTCCTAGTCAGGACTGCGTGCTGAATGCGTCTGTAACGACAATTGTGTATGTGATAGACGTCAACGACAACAATCCCATCTTCGAGTCACCAGCCCAGGTGGAGATCTTCGAGGACGAGAATGTCAACTATCCTGTGTTGTATGTGTTGGCAACTGACAAAGATGCAAATGAGAACAACAGCGGAAATAACTTGGTCACCTACAAGATCCTCTCTGGCAACAACGCGGACAAGTTCCACCTGGAGAGCACCACAGGTAATGAACAAGGGCAGGGTAACTTGAAAATAAAGTTTCTGAACAGTATTTTCAGGTGAAAAGCATTCTGAGATCCTCTTGTTGCAGGAATAATAATCCTGGCATGTCAATACATCACACAGTTCAAACAGCAATGAAATAGGTGTATCTCATCCATATCAATTATTCAACAATCATAGAACCTTTGTACTGTTGTTATTATATTTTGAATGTAATAAATACAGTGCATATATTAGAAAAACGTTGAATTTAATAAAACATCATGTAATTTGAAAACTGCAATTAATATGAAAAAAAAGAATGAAATATGGTAAAATGGCATTGAATGTAGTGAAGCAGCATAAAATGTAATTTGTGGTACATGAATGAAAGCATTTGATGGAAGGTGAATAAAAGAATAGGTGTAATGAAAGCTGTTCAATGATTGTGCTGTAATGGTGATTTTAATGGAAGGAACATGGAGGAAAGTGGAAAATATGGTTTGTGATATAATATGGTTAGGTTCTCATGGTGATGTTATTTCAGGGTTGCTGACGATAGCGAACTCTCTGGACCGGGAAGAACAAAACTCCTATGCTCTAAACATCAGTGCTGAAGACCACGGTTCACCTAAACGGATTTCACACAAAGTGCTCAACATCATCATAAAGGACGTCAATGACAACGCTCCCCACTTCACCAACTCTACCTACCACGCCGGTATCCCCGAGCACGCCAGCTCAGACGGCGTGGTGGTCACTGTCCGTGCTACAGATGCTGACGTGGGCTCCAATGCCAGACTGACGTACATGATTCCTAGTGGGATTGCTGACAACAAGTTCATGATTGACAGCACCACTGGTGTGGTGAAGGCCACCATGTCGCTGGACAGGGAGGAGAAGGATACATACATTGTATCAGGTAGGTGTATCATAGGGTTAGAGATTGAAATGTGACCGCATACACGTTGATGGCCAGCATGTCGCTGGACAGGGAGGAAAAGGATACATACATTGTATCAGGTAGGTGTATCATAGGGTTAGAGATTGACATGTGACCACATACACCTGTTGATGGCCACCATGTCGCTGGACAGGGAGGAGAAGGATACATACATTGTATCAGGTAGGTGTATCATAGGGTTAGAGATTGACATGTGACCGCATACACCTGTTGATGGCCACCATGTCGCTGGACAGGGAGGAGAAAGATACATACATTGTATCAGGTAGGTGTATCATAGGGTTAGAGATTGACATGTGACCACATACACCTGTTGATGGCCACCATGTCGCTGGACAGGGAGAAGGATACATACATTGTATCAGGTAGGTGTATCATAGAGTTAGAGATTGACATGTGACCGCATACACCTGTTGATGGCCACCATGTCGCTGGACAGGGAGAAGGATACATGGGTACAGGGTTAGGAGAATGTGATACACCTGTTGACATTGTATCAGGGTAGGTGTATCATAGGGTTAGAGATTGACATGTGACCACATACACCTGTTGATGGCCACCATGTCGCTGGACAGGGAGAAGGATACATACATTGTATCAGGTAGGTGTATCATAGAGTTAGAGATTGACATGTGACCGCATACACCTGTTGATGGCCACCATGTCGCTGGACAGGGAGGAGAAGGATACATACATTGTATCAGGTAGGTGTATCATAGAGTTAGAGATTGACATGTGACTGCATACACCTGTTGATGGCCATTATGTTAAGAATGTCATTAAACAGAAGGGTCTTTATGATTTACCCTGTCTTTGAAAAGGATCTGGTTGGAGTCCTAATTAAAAATGACAAAAATTCCCATAGAAACATTTACTAATGGCAGAGATCATTGTACAATTCTGACTTACCGTAAGGTTGTTATAAATTATGATTATAATAGATCTTTATTCAACAGGTATTTGTCGGAATGTTTTATGTTAGCCGTGAAAGATCCTACTTTACCATTGGTCTGTCAGTGTTTAGGAGAGTAAGATATTTTGAGAGTAGAATTGTTCAAGAGTACACCATGATTGTCAGTCATCTGGTCATACAGGGTTCCGTATATGCTTTTGTTGATGCAGTTGATGATGATGATATGATGATATCTTCATTTCAGTGTATGTTCGTGATGGAGGCTACCCCACCAACTACGACCAGGCAACAATCATCATCAGTGTTCTGGACATCAACGACAACTCTCCAGTCTTTAAAAGTAAAACCTACAAACTTAACATCCCAGAAAACAGTGAGCAGACGTCCATCTTTGCTTTTACCGCCTACGATGCCGACACTGGGCAAAACGCTGACATACTCTACAGCATCACCGGTGAGTTGAATAAAAAATACATTGCTTCCTATCAAAGAGATAATATTTAGAATTCCGACTGGCTCTTATCAGACGGGCATGAGTTCAGATGTGACAATAATGAAGTGCAATCTCTTTACAGGGCAGTGATTGGTTTGGAGAGTTTGAGTCCAGATGAGTTTGATAGGACTAATTTAAAAGATTAATGCATGTTTGGCTTCGATTGATCTTCAAGTCTGGTTGAAAAAGTGTCACTTCAGTGGCACTTTGATGATTGAGATATTTTTAACACTTTTAGCTATTGATGTTAAATTAGGAAATTCATCCCCAAGGCATTAACTTTCGTCTCACAGAGAGTGTCTCTCTGGCAGGGATAGTTTTTGTGTCTGAAATATATTGCTGGATGATATACTGGTACCTTGATTGATACTAAAGTGAGGCAGATTCTCAGAGGCAAGGTTGGATCATAAGGATTTTACCAGTAGTATTAATTCACATTGTTTCAGGAAGTTTTAGTTTATTGTATTTGAGAAGCTGGTGTTTTTTTTAAAAGTTTAAGGCTGAATTAATGACAAAACATTCAGATTTTACTTGGATCGTTCGTTTACTCTTGACTTAAGATGCTAATCAGTCATTATTTCACCTCTCAGATGGAAATGAAGAAGGGAAATTTTCTGTGGATCCAATTACTGGAGACCTGTCTTGTAAACCTTTGGACCGAGAATTGACCGAGGAATACAACCTGACCATCGCTGCTACAGACAGGGGTTCAGTGCCTCGCTCTGGGGAAAGCCTAGCCTTCATCACAGTGCTGGATGAAAATGACAATGACCCTCACTTCAGTCAGCCCATGTACAGCTCAGGCATCCCAGAGGACATACAGAGAGGTCACACCATCCTGCAGGTCATGGCCACAGATGCTGACAAAGGTCACAATGGTGATGTCGCCTACTCCCTCGGCAACGACACTGAAGGACTGTTTAGTGTAAACGCCTCTTCAGGGGAGATAACCACAAGCGGGTAATCATCTTTGCATGTTGTTTGCCTTCATCTAATCTGTCACACAGTACTGGAACCAGAATATTTTTCTGTCTGTCAAGCCCATATTGTAATGCTTACAGCCTATATGAAGCACACATTTTGAATCTCAAATCTTACTAGATAGAGCTCTTTCAGCATTAGGGTCGGTGGGGTAGCCTTGTGGTTAAAGCGGTCGCTCGTCACACCGAAGACCCGGGTTCGATTCCCCATGTGGTTACAATGTGTGATGCTCATTTCTGGTGTCCCCCGTCGTGATATTGCTGGAATATTGCTAAATGCGGCATAAAACTAAACTCACTCACTCATTCAGCATTAAAATGGAGTTGTTTGTTTCTATCAAAATGATCGAAGTGTTAAGGCAGTCTTGTAATCGATGTCATATTGTTTCAGTGACTAGTCAGGAAATGTGATTCCTGATGCTTAAAATTATTGTCTGAATATAATGAACATTCTGTGGATTCAAGATGTGTACCTGCTGTTGTTTGTTATTACAGGTTGTTTGACAGAGAGAAGAAGAGCAGTTACTCATTTGATATTGTGGCCATGGATGGAGGTATTTCAGGCCCAAGGAACAGCACTGCTCGAGTTGACATCATCATCACTGATATCAATGATAACGCCCCAGTGTTTGCAGAAGTGCCGTACCGAAGGAGCGTGGGACCAAGCACAGGGAGGGGGGTGGTGGAGATACTCACAGTATCAGCCCTGGACCCTGACGAGGGTGACAATGGAGCTGTTGAATATCGTATGGACCTGGCGTCTGGCAGTCAGCAATTTTTCGAAATGAATGGAGCAGCTATTGTTACGAAGAGGGACCTGGGGGGTGCCGTTGGCTATCACAACATTCAGATTGTCGTGATGGACAAGGGCAGCCCGGTCCTCAGCTCCACCGGTCAGTACTTTTTGAGTGTTTTGAATGTCACAACTTACCATATTTTTTTAAACATTTATTACCCATAAGGGTAGGATGATAATGTGTAATTATTTTCTGGTAGTTGCACAAGTTGCACATGTGCATTTTACAATTTCTTGATACTTATTGCTCCGTTGATGCCATATGACATCAAAGTGCGTCATTATTAAAAATGAAACCAAACGTCATCCATCGTTGATGACATATTTTGTTATCTGAAGAATAGACATGTTTCTTCAAGGTTGACATTTTCTGTTTTAAGTACATTTTAGAGTTGGTTTTGGGGTTCCAATATCCCTGTTCTCTAACTGAGTAGGACCCCAATCATGCTATTTGAACATTGTACCCATCATGGGAATCAATTGTAGGTGTTTGGCTTGAAAAGTTAGAGCTTGAACCACCAGGCAACACCATACCCACCTAAAATTATGATTGAAGTGAACCAAATGGAATATGTGTTGACAGTATTGATGTTTGTGTGCAGGAGTTGTTGAGATCACAGTCGGCAACCCCAGTAGCCCGTCACTGTCGTTCACTCGGGAAGAATATCATCAGACCATTCCGGAAGATAATCGCAATGGGACTGAGGTGATTCAGGTGGGAGTCATCCAGGTTTCCCCAGCTGTCACTTACAGACTTGCTGGCGGCAACGATGGCAACCCATTCAGCATCAACGTCAACAATGGTGAGTGCAATATCAAACAGAGACATTTTCTCAGTGATGAAAGTCCGGAAGACATTTTCATGAGGCTAACATTAAGTATCAAATATATGGTCTTGCTAATTAAATGTTCAGTACCTTTAAACATACAATTAGTACTTGGGAAAACTCATTTCTAACTTTTCAATTTCAGGAATGATCTCGGTGCACAACACTAATCTCATTGACTACGAGACGAGTCCGAGATTGCGCCTGATTGTCCAGGCCTCAGCAGGAGGAGCTGTAGCCTATGCCACTGTCTGGGTCAACTTGACTGATGTCAATGACAATGCTCCGAAATTTACACAGAACAAATACGTCACATCAGTCTGGGAGAACAATGCTCCAGAAACCTTCGTCACCATGGTAATTGTCTCCAAAATAGAATGGATTTGTTTTTATTTAACAGTATTCTGGCATGTGCCTCAGAACAATACTCTTAAGTTAAGACTTAAGGTGTATTAAAAACCAACTTTTTAAGAGAATTTATAGACACCTAAATTCTTTAAAGTATTTCATTTTTCCTTTTTTTCAGTCAGAAAAAAGCACAGAAAAACTAAGATGGGAAAAATAGAAATTCTGATATTTTAGAAAGTAAATCAAGTTTCATTGTGTATAATGTGTACTGTAATATCAAAGTGTATTGTTCATGCAGGTACAGGCCAATGATGAGGATACTGGCAGGAACGGACAGGTCCTGTACAGCATCATCAACGGCAACGACGACAACGCCTTTGTAATTCAACCACCTTACACTGGCATCATCATAACGTCGAGAGATTCCTCATCACTGGACAGGGAGATCCAGGACACGTATCAGCTGACTATTGAAGCTGTTGACCAAGGAAACCCAAGCTTGTCTTCAAGGTGCATCGTGTCCATCAATGTCAATGATGAAAACGACAATGCACCGTTCTTCCGCACATTTCAGTCTGTGCATATCAGTGAAAGTAAGTACAAACTGTAAATATTTTGCATTTTTGTGCTAAAAGAGTACTGTGGGCAAGTGTCTATACTGTATTTCATGCTTGAAGATCCAGGTGAGAATTAGTTTTCTGGCTACCAGTGCTTCTTGTAAGTAGTTGCTCATGGGACCTGGTGGTCCGACTGACAGACTTGGTTGATGATGTTATTGTGTTTCATGTGTGTTGCTCATGCTATCAATCCAAGACTCATTAACCAAAACTTATTTACAGCTGTCATAAAAAACTGGAACAGGTTTATTGTGGTGTAAGAACGTTTGCTAACACTGATGGAGTGAATAGATCACTTGAGTGTCTTCTGCCTCTCCCCCCATACACTTCTGTCAGTCTGTCAGTAAGAATAATGGACCATGCTGATAGATACACCCAGTGTGCAAAATAGTTTACAAATTTTGCTAGCCAGTCGGGCTAGCTATGACTGAAAGTTACTAGCCCACTAAATAATTCACTAGCCTGAAATTGGAATGTAAAAACTAAGCAAAATATTACAAAAATAAATGAGAATAAAATATTGTCGACATGACACGGGTTTCATCATTAAGCTGCTAATATGATGAACATTTTTATCCGGTCATAATTTTGCATAATTTAAAAGTGTATTGTAACTTAACAAGTCGGAGAGAGTGATATATTTACAAAATGACCCCATGAAAATTCACAAGCCAGTCTGAACAGTGACTGTGGAGATTTACTTGCCCGAGTGGATTTTTACTAGCCACGGGTTCCCTCATGAAACATTATTTGGTGGAATGTTGACCACATCCTCAGCTCATGCACATTTACAAGTTCTCTTCCTAGTGGGCTCACAGACGTGTATGTTTTATGTTTTCAGATCGTAAAGTGGGCTCCCAGGTTACCACAGTAACAGCTACAGATGTGGACTTCCAGCCCAAGCTGGTCTACTCCTTCCAGCCCAACAGTAACGGTGATGGCAGCTTCAGCATCGACAGGTTCAGCGGCAGCATCTCCCTCGCCAAAGCAGTTGACCATGAAGTCAGGAACCATTATGTGCTGGGAATTATGGTAAGAACTGTTGTCTCGCACATTAACGTGTCTTAAGAATTTAAAAAGTGTCAGATGAATAACTGACAGAATTATTTTCAATCAAATCTGTCAATCAGTCCAATCATTAGCATTGAACATCATCAATGTAACGGCGGTAGGGTAGCCTAGTGGTTAAAAGCGTGAGTTGTCCCCACATGGGTACAATGTGAAGCCCATTTCTGGTGTGTGCCCGTGATGTTGCTGGAATATTGCTAAAAGCGTCAAAACATCAGTCAGTCAGTCATCAATGTAACCTGAGAGCATTGAGTTGTTGCAAGTAATCTTGATTAAAAGAACGTAATAATTAATTATTAATATGAGGTCATAAATGGTGTTATTATTAATATGTTCCTTCAGCAATCACATGAATGTAATATAGATTCTGATTATTGACAAGTATTGGTCTTACTTAGCTTTTGTAACATTTTGTTTGAATGTTGCAGGTGTCTGATGGGAAACACAATGCCTTCACTCAGATCGACATCTACATTGACGATGAGAATGATAACGCTCCTGAGTTCAGCCAACAGAACTACCAGGTGAGCAGCTCCCATCAACACTGTTCTTATGTAATCTTTTGTTGATCTAAATATTAGAAACTTAAATGTTAGGGGACATGATGGCTGATGAGGTAGTAAGGAAGGTGTCTTTTTTTCTTTATGAATGGTGACAAGTTCTTTAAATCAAAATCTGACCCGCAAATGATGGTCTGGTGATTTATTCAAAGAGGCCTGTATTCTCACTTAATGGTTATTTTCATTCATTTTCAAAATGATAATTCCTGTGACATATTGTCATTTTAAGGAACATTTTAGGGACTGACTGTGGTTCCATTGCCAATATTTGTCTGCTGATTTTGAATGTTAATATAGCCTTGATATACCTTTAGTTGAATTGCATTTACATGAGAAGTCCAAAAATTGTTTTCTTCCAAAACTATAACTATGAGTGAATCAAAGAATTGTGGATTTAAAAGTCGGTATTATGATATTTCTGTACAAGGTGGCGCTAGAGGAGGCCACACTCCCAGGCAGATCTGTGATCACTGTCAACGCCACTGATGCCGACTCTGGGGTCAACAAGATAATCAGCTACAGTCTCCGGTCCGACTTCAACCACAGCTTCTACATCAACTCCAACACCGGTAATGATGGATGGATGACAGGACAGTCAAGCAGACTGTTTGATCACCTACTTGATAATTACTTACGTTAATGTACATTAGCTCAGTCTAGGGTTCATGTTAAAGGCTTACTCCTCACCTGAATACAATGATTAATACACAACCTCAGGTGTGAATATTTTCCTACATCACTGTCCTTCCTATTCATGATGAACGATGACGTAACTAAAATACTGCAGAAGACTATCACAATCACTTATGACTTGGCCTTTGTCAACATGCTTTTTAGAGCATCCACCCAGAGAGCGGAAGGCCGCGGGTTCGATCCCCGACCGCGTCATACCAAAAGACATTAAAATATGGTACTTGTTGGTCCCTGCCTGGCGCTCGGCATTAATGGGTACAACAAGGACTGGTCGGCTCGGAGTCAGTATACTGTGTCTGAGTGGGGTATTCATGCTTCACTGCGGCATGGTATCTCCGTGGGATAGCACTATAAAACCAGCTTAAGTCTGGGCTAGTACAAGCAGCCGCACATACCCGTACACTCGCATGCACGTCGTCATATGAGCGAAATATTCTCAAGCAAGACGTTAAACCTAATTTCACCTCACCTCACCTCAACATGCCTTTGTTGTAATTCTGATGACAGGAAATCCATTCTTGTTCACTCTAACCAGTGTATTGACAAACATCTGTTTATTTGCAGGTACGATCTACACCAATAAGTCCCTGACCTACGAGGCATTTTCTTCCATCATTGAGCTTGTGGTCATTGCACAAGACGGTGGCTCCCCCACTTTGTCTGACATGGTGGCAGTCCACATCCAGATCACAGACATCAACAAATACAGTCCACAGTTTGAACAGCCCAGTTATGAGTACGTAGTCATTACGGTCATGGTTAAGATGCTTGATGCTGCTTTCCCCTTGCTTGTTGGTAGAAGCCCAAGAAAAGATCTAGGTTATACTTGACCATCAGCATTCTAAGCTTGTCGTAAGAGGTGACTAACGGGATCAAGTGTTAATACTCGCTAACGTGGTAGCTGCATGTCCATGCATGCCATATTGTAATGTTAATCATTGGATTGTCTGGATCGAAGAAGGATATTTTTTTACTGAACATGGTCATATCTGAAATATTTATAGGTACGGTGTTCAACAACAAGCAATATCAGTTTGTTCCATCTGATTAAAAAGATATCTCAGCAGAATTCCAAAGCAACTTCTTGGAGTTCCATTTTGAAACATGATTTAGATGTAATGTTGAAGTGTCAGTTAGTTAACTAACATTTTGTTCTTCCCCTCAATAATAAGAGGTCCACAGCACATTATTAAATATTTCCTGGTTTTCTTCAGGGTCAACATCAGCGAATTCAGTGTAAAAGGCGAGTCCATTCTTTCTGTGAGAGCCATTGACCGAGACATCACTCACATACATCGTGACGACAACATCAACTACAAACTTATTGGAGAAGGAGCCAGTACGTTTCAAATTCGCAGAAAGACTGGCCAGATCTTCCTCATGAGCCAGGCCAATCGAGAAAATGTCTCCCAGTACAATCTCACAGCCATTGCAACTGACCGTGGTCACCCACCAAAGAGTTCATCCGTGCCGGTGAAGATCATTGTTGAGGATGAAAATGATAATCCACCTCGTTTCCATGAGCCAGATAATATATATCATGTTCCTCTTCCTGAGAATACCCCACCTGAGCAGGTGTTTCTGCATGTTGTTGCTGACGATGCCGACGAAGGTCTCCATGCTGAAATACAGTATACAATTACATCTGGAAACAACGAAGGTATATTCCATATTCACGGAACCAATGGCAGCTTGTTCATCATGCCCGGTGCTGAACTGGATTACGAGAGTCATAAATCTCATCGACTTATTGTGAGAGCAGTGGACTGCACAAGGTGTCTGCCAAACCAGCCCCGGTTGTCAGCGTTTGTGACAATACAGATTAATGTGTCGGATGTGAACGAGTTTCCCCCTGAGTTTCCAATTTCACCTTACAATGAATGTGTGAAAGAGAACCAGCCCCCGAACACCACAGTGTTCCAAGCTCAAGCTAACGATGGGGATGGTGGGATTTATGGGATTCTCAACTACAGCATCATCCAGAACAGTTCCGATGCTGCTCTCTTCTCTATCAACAGCAAGACAGGACATGTACTAACCAGAGCCGAGTTTGACTACGAGCTCCGGAACTCCTACGCCTTCCACATCAAGGTACAAGATACCCAGTACACCAGTGTTGTGTATGCCACAGTAAAGGTGCTGGATGTTGATGAGTATGTTCCCAAGTTCATTAAAGACCGTTACAATTTTGCTGTGTTGGGTAGTGCTGGACGTGGTGACTTCGTTGGACAAGTCAGTGCTACAGACCAGGATGGAGGGAATGCGGGGAAAGTGGTGTACATGATTGAATATTCAGATGATTATTTTGAAATCAACCCAACAACTGGGAACATTACCGTAAAACGAATATTCAATGAAGATGCACCTTCTCAAAGACTGAGACGAAAGCGTGCATTGACGGGTGATTCCACCCCTCTGATTATCAGGGCGTGGTCAGGGAGAGAGGATTCGCTGGAAGCCACGTCAAGAGTGGAGGTCGACATCGATCGTGATTGTGAAGGATGTGCGTATGCTCCCCAGCCACTTCAGGGTGGACTGAGTACAGTTGGCATTGCCATGATCATTGTGGTGAGCGTGTTGGTCCTGCTGGTCACCATCATTGTGATTATTTGTCTTGTGAGCAGAAGGCGACGACGCAACAAGCGTCCACCTCATGACCCTAACGAAAATGTCGACAGTGCTGCATTTAGTTTTACACCCCCTCCTGCAATGAGACCTCATATCAATGGTGGACCTCCACCTTACAAAGAGCATCTGCATTTCGGACCAGACGCATCAAATGTGACTAGCTCTGATATATCTGACCAATCTCATTCTGCCTCCAGTGGGCGGGGCTCAGCTGAGGAAGAGGAGGATGAAGAAATTAGGATGATCAATTCCAACACACAGCTTCAGAGTTCACAGACGTTCATGCGCCGCAAACAGATGCCAGATTCTGGGATTCAGCAGGATGAAGATACTCTCTCCGAGCCATCAGTTCAAAACCACCAAGAATATTTAGCCAAGTTAGGTATAGACTCTACAAAGATTGGCAAACCTAAACCCAAAGCCCATCAAATTGCTCATTCCGTGGAAAGCATGCATCAGTTTTCTGATGAGGGTGGAGGTGAGGGGAATGTGGATATGGGTCACAGTGACTATGATAAAATGACAGACATGGAGACCGATGAAGAGGTCGCCATGATTGATAGAAACAAAGACTTGGGCTTCCATGAGCCAGAAACTCAACATGCCGGCTCTCTTTCTAGTGTTATTAATAGTGAAGAAGAATATAGTGGGTCTTATAACTGGGACTATCTCCTTAATTGGGGGCCACAGTACCAACCCCTTGCTCATGTGTTTGCTGAAATTGCCAAATTAAAAGATGATAATGTTCAGCCAAGGAAACCACCGGTGCGGACAGTTCCTCAAAGACATTTGAACACACAGCTGACCCCCAAGGTCAAGATGGTGCCACCTCCCATGATTACGAATGCACCACCAAAAGCCTTTGCTCCTCGGCCTAGTCACACATCTTCTGGCAGTTCTTCCCGTGGTATCCCTTCAGCAAGAGCGAGCACTATGAACACTTCCATGCCGAGTCTACCCCGCTCGCCAATAAGCTACGACTCAAGCGTCACATCACCAGCGCTCACCCCATCTTTCACTCCTTCCCTGTCTCCCCTGGCAACAGGCTCCCCCTCTCCAGTTGTTAGTGCTCACGGGTCTACACATAGTTCGGGACATAATACTCCAGGAAAAGGTGTCTCAAAACAAAATATCCGGCTCGCTATGAGTGCTTCTTCAGAGTCTGAGCAAGAATTCCGGATATGAGCCGTGACATTCAACTTGATGAATGTATTGATTTTATGAAACCATATGGATATTTTATGAATGATTGTGATAAAGAGACCTTTCCAAGTGACATGGTTGCAAGCATCTAGTTGTCCATGTTGTTGTAACGTGCTGCCAGCATTATGGACAAACAGTGAAATAATTATGCAAATGTGGACCATTGTTTCTGATGTTGCCATAGTAACAAAGATGCATGTTCAACGATCAGCAGTGCAATGCACCTGCTTGCTGAGTTATTGGTAAAGTGTCTATTTTTGTAGATCATCTGTGTATATAGGTCATTGATTATTTTAGTCCTGTTAGGCTGAAATTAGAAGCATTAACAATGAGATTATCTAAAGTGTCATGCTTCCTGCAAATTTAACATTTCCATGCCTTGTAGATATATATAAGGGAATCGTAACAGTGTACAGAGAGCGAATGTATTAAGAATGACTGTAGTACCAGATTCACACAAGGTTTTTAAGTTAAATATGCCAAACTGCTGCATCTGCATTTTACATCTGAGATGAAGGCACCAAAGATACCTGAATATGAAATAGACATCTGTCACATTTTATCTTGTTGATTTTAGACTTGTTGATGCTGAAATACAGGTGTCCGTTCGTCTTCTGGTGACTCACATTCCAAACATGCCAGGGAACGTTATTTTAAACTCTTCCCCTCCCTCAATAAAATCCTCTCTTCCTTCCTTTACAGGAACAGTTGTCTATTTCATGGTCAGCATCACAGTTTATTCCAGAATCAGAGTATCAGTTAGGGCAGAGAAGGACTATGCAAACAGCTTTGCCAGTGCTGTCAGTTTTATAATTCATTTCTCATCAACTTGGTAGGATTCATCAATCATCTGTATCGTTTAAGTAAAATATGATTTTTTTATAGTCAACAATTACTGAACTTACCAGAGTAATCATTCAGTCCATTCAAGTACAGTTAACAGCTGTATTTTAAGTCAAATACATCGTTATCGCTGGGGAATGATGGCTGCACTATTTTGGCTGTTTGTCCCTTATTGTTTTTCATATCCAAGTGAATTTGTCACATGTTTGGTCCCAGTGTTGTGAAGCTAGGTTCAAAATAGAAACTCAAATCTGGAATAAAATGTTTTTTCAACTCACGTTGAGTATAAACACAAATACTTTTTATTGATTAGTAATGAAATGTTAGTGATAAATAAGTTGTTTTATTTTGCATTTATGTGTCTGTCAGTCCTGTGGAAATGAAATCTGGACCACAATAACTCTATAACCAAAGAGCTAAGGTCCTTCAGCACAGTCTGATCAAAGGAACTGTTTACTGTACTTGATAAGGATTTGACGGCAATGAATTTTAGAAAACAGTCAGTGGAGATTTGAAGTTGATTAAACAGAAGATGGAGTGTTATTTGAGTCATAGATGTACCATATGCCTTCATTGAAGCTGATCATTGCGTGAGTGTGTGATGTAGGATATATGAAAGCTCATCTTATAGACTGTAACCAGCTAAATACATATCTTCATCTGCATTCATTTTGTACAGTGTAAATGCAATGTTTACTTATTTGTGGGTTTGCATATTTATTTTTATGTGCGAGCTGAGCTGAGATATTAATATGTTTTGTTAAGCTTGTAAATAATATACAGTTTTTTTTGTATGTGTCACTTTGTGACGTCCGCAATCAAAATATGAAGTTAGAGGCAAAAACTAGTAAAGGATACTTTGCAATAAAATGTCAAGAATGATTTTAGTGTTTTGTGATTTTTGAAGTATTGCTGAAATAATTTGATTGTTAACTGGCTGAAATATTGCTGATTGACGACTTCCTGATGTACTGCTGATGGTGGGTATGGCCAAGGTTCTCCGAGGGATCTGCCTGTTGGAACCTTTGTGCCCCCAGTTGACAAATGGTTTTCATTGGTTTGGTAAACCAACCAATCTGTAATGATTTAGATGTCAAACAGGTGCACACATCAACAATATATACGGGGTGGTGGGGTAGCCTAATGGTTAAAGTTCGAATCCCCACATGGGCACAATGTGTGAAGCCCATTTATGGTGTTCCTTGCCGTGATATTGCTGGAATATTGCTAAAAGCGGCATAAAACCCATCTCACTCACTCACTCATCAACAATATATACAAAAAATATGTCTCGGAGCATTTGTATTTAGCATTATACCACAGCATTACTTTATTTGAGCATATTATGTACTTCAATCAAACGTTTTAGTTCCTACAGCACAGCAACCATAAGTAAGTTATTATGGGTACAAATCCCAAATAACATACATGTAAAAACGTAATAGGTAAATGCATTTACAAATAATTATTGGAGCAAAATGCCAAGTCTCCAGGACTCGGGAGCACCAAGGTGAATCCACCAGTAAGCTAGATATCTATTTGTGGCTCCTGTACCGCCAAACAACATATTCCCTTTGCAACGGATTTTAACTGTAGAATCATTGCAAGCACGCACGAAGATGCTGACACACACTGAGCTTATTAATGACTGAGAGCAAGTGAATAATTTGTCTTTGTAACAGTATTGTTTAAATGTCATCATGAACTGAGTGTGTGGGGCGTGGGAGTAAAGCCCAGAGAGATGCAGATATTATACATTTAGCATTCTGCAGGAACCTACGATTACGGCTATGGGGTTGACCAAAGCCCAGAGAGATGCAGATGACCAAAACCCAGACGCCTAAGATGCAGATGTTATACATTTAGCACTCTGCAGGAACCAACGAGTACGGCTATGGTGTTGACCAAAGCCCAGAGAGATGCAGATGTTATACATTTAGCACTCTGCAGGAACCATTAGAGTACGGGTATGGTGTTGACCAAAGCCCAGAGAGATGCAGATGTTATACATTTAGCATTCTGCAGGAACCTACGAGTACGGGTATGGTGTTGACCAAAACCCAGAGAGATGCAGATGTTATACATTTAGCATTCTGCAGGAACCAACGAGTACGGGTATGGTGTTGACCAAAGCCCAGAGAGATACAGGTCTTATACGTTTAGCATTCTGCAGGAACCAACGAACACGGCTATTGTGTAGACCAACGTTAAGAAAACAAAAATTGGCCTAACCAGGATTCGAACCAATGGAAATTGGTTTCTAGCGTGCCCAAGTCATCTTTAAGGTCATGCAGATCAGATACACGACAAAGAGACTTTATCTGCCTTTAAAGGTGTGTCCACTCAGTCATTAAATGTTATAACTAAAGTTGCTTGGTCACCATGCAGTTATCACGGGTTCCTGGAGTGTCCAGGGGACGCAACTCACAGCGATTTCCGGTGTTTTGATGACTGACTGGGGCACCCATATCGCCGGACCCACCCATCATTGTAACTATATCCACGATATACCACCACAAGAGTGAGTGAGTGAGTTTGGTTTTACGCCGCTTTTAGCAATATTCCAGCAATATCACGGTGGGGGACACCAGAAATGGGCTTCACACATTTTACCCATGTGGGGAATCGAACCCGGGTCTTCGGCGTGACGAGCGACCGCTTTAACCACTAGGCTACCCCCGCCCTCCCACCACAAATCATGCAATTAGGAAGAAATATGTTCCAGTACACCTTGAATAAATAGTTTTCAGAACGGGATACTTCCAGCATATCTTTCTGGAGTCCCCCGCCGTGATGTTGCTGGAATATTGCTAAAAGCGGCGTAAAACCAAACTCAGTCAGTCAGTCAGTCCAACATTTCTTATTCAAAAACCGATTTACTGCAAAATCATTATATACATTCAATGATTTTCAACGACGAGTTCTGCTCAAGGAAACAAATGCTATTAAAAATCCTATATGTAGCAAATGTACGAAAGCTGATCAGATGTCATGAAAATGAATCTCCCGCTTTGTTGCTCCGGGGTGATATGGAATGGTTGGCGTGTTCGTTTCCTGCAGGAAGCCAATCTATCCTTGAGATCAAACCGTTCTTCCGGTCAGCGAGTCCTATAAGGTCATTTTTTACGATATTTTATATAAGAAATGATTTGAGTGGCATATATACCATACAAAAATACAGTGAAATATGAGTCATCGACTTAGACATTAAGTAGAGATCGCTGAACAATGGACAGAGTGAGAAGACTCACGGGAGGATTCGTAGAAAGGATAATCCTTTTACGGCAGCACTTCATCGATCTGGGACTCTGTAAGATTCAAGTTAACCTGCCCGAGGTGAAATATTATTCCTAATTATATTTCATATGTTTGAGAAACCATAAAAAGAAAATCTTGCACTGTTAGGCGGAGTACTGCGGTTACTGCGTGTCGTATTGATTTTACAAGGCCAAGTGGGGTATTTCGAGAAATTCGGGAAATACAACTTCAGTCTTGTATAGGTAGTAGGATAAGCACTTGCATGTGATAATCTCACACTGTATGATGTTCACTGATAACAGACTGACCGTCCTTCGTTATCAAGTGGACAAGGTGTCGATGGTTCGATTATCCGACCCGGTTGTGGTAGTGGTAGTAGTAGTAGTAAATTTAGTAGCCTTAGTAGTTGTAGCAGGATCAGTAGTAACTGTAAGGGTTGTGGTTGGGATAGTAGTGGTAGTGGTGATGATGTTAGTGGTGGTGGTGGTAGTGGTCGTTGTGTAGTAGTAGTAGTAGTGGTGGTGATACAGGTGTTAGTGGTAATGGTAGTGGTGGTGCAGGTGTCAGTGGTAATGGTAGTGGTGGTGCAGGTGTCAGTGGTAATGGTAGTGGTGGTGCAGATGTCAGTGGTAATGGTAGTGGTGGTGCAGATGTCAGTGGTAATGGTAGTGGTGGTGCAATGGTAATGGTGGTGGTGGTGCAGGTGTCAGTGGTAATGGTAGTGGTGGTGCAGGTGTCAGTGGTAATGGTAGTGGTGGTGCAGGTGTCAGTGGTAATGGTAGTGGTGGTGCAGAGTGTCAGTGGTAATGGTAGTGGTGGTGCAGGTGTCAGTGGTAATGGTAGTGGTGGTGCAGGTGTCAGTGGTAATGGTAGTGGTGGTGCAGGTGTCAGTGGTAATGGTAGTTGTGGTGCAGGTGTCAGTGGTAATGGTAGTGGGTGCAGGTGTCAGTGGTAATGGTAGTGGTGGTGAAGGTGTCAGTGGTAATGGTAGTAGTGGTGCAGGTGTCAGTGGTAATGGTAGTGGTGGTGAAGGTGTCAGTGGTAATGGTAGTGGTGGTGCAGGTGTCAGTGGTAATGGTAGTAGTGGTGCAGGTGTCAGTGGTAATGGTAGTAGTGGTGCAGGTGTCAGTGGTAATGGTAGTGGTGGTGCAGGTGTCAGTGGTAATGGTAGTGGTGGTGCAGGTGTCAGTGGTAATGGTAGTGTGGTGCAGATGTCATTGGTAATGGTAGTAGTTGTGCAGGTGTCAAGGTGTCAGTGGTAATGGTAGGTGTGGTGCAGATGTCATTGGTAATGGTAGTAGTTGTGCAGGTGTCAGTGGTAATGGTAGGTGTGGTGCAGATGTCATTGGTAATGGTAGTAGTTGTGCAGGTGTCAGTGGTAATAGTAGTAGTGACGCAGGTGTCAGTGGTAATGGTAGTAGTGGTGGTAGTGGTGGTGCAGTAGTGGTGTATGGTAGTGGTGATAGTGATAATTGTAGTAGTGGTGCAGGTGTCAGTGGTAATGGTAGTGGTGGTGCAGATGTCAGTGGTAATGGTAGTGATGCAGGTATCAGTGGTAATGGTAGTGGTGGTGCAGGTGTCAGTGGTAATGGTAATGGTGGTGGTGTCAGTGGTAATGGTAGTGGTGATGGTGTTGACTAAAGTTCGATGTCTGATACAAATCTTTATTCCTTAAGGTTGGGAGGGTTCTCAATGGTAGAAGAATCTGTATCGAATCGTTGTACTCACGAATAAAAGAAGTTGTTATCCATAAAGGGTTAAACGCTGCAAAGTTTCCATCCATCACAGTCAACTTGCCTTATTCCTCAATGTTTATAGTAACTAAAAAACACACACTCACACTGTTTCACCGATCCTATTGTAACCATACGATCATTTTCCAAAGTTGTGAACTTTCCTATGCTCATTTGTCATTTTAACTTTTGAACTGGTCGCAAAGGAACATCAAGTGTTGAAACATCAAGAAGGTATATGAGCTGCTTCAGTGTTAACGGTAAATTCACCCCGGGACCTGCACGCACGTGACAAGTCCTACCCCCTCGGGACATTACACTCATACAACGTATTACTTCTTGATAATAACGGCAGTCAAAGCAGTCATTATGTTTCAAAGAACAAAACTTAACTGTGAAAGTTTACCCTAAATCTTGAGCCTAACGCGGTTACGTATTTCATTTCAATTTCAGAACTGACAAAAGTTTACGAAAATGCCATAGTTCCATGTCGAGAACTTTGCACATCACCTTTCTTTAATGGTATTAAGTGTCAGACACACGTTATTCCGACAGTTAGCGTTGTATTAACTTCACCATTGTGTTATTGTTCCCGCGAGGCAATGCTGACGACATGGCAATTCCGATCTGTATGATGTATATATTTCAATTTAAAGTTCTTTCGGCAAAGAATCTTTCATGAACAACATATACATCGTTTTCTTTCAGAATTGGTTCTGCTTTAACAATTCTTCAGCTGTGTTTTCATTTCCTATTATTCCGAACCGCCCCATCAATTAAGGTATGAGAAATGTAAGCTGTCGGGCGATCTCGGGGGTATTTCGTGAGCTCTGATTGGGCGAGATGGACATATGTTTTACCGACATCCATTCTTACAGGTCCAAATATACG